TCCAGGGGGAAATCCCCAAAAGCCGGGCATGTCCGGGAAAATCGGGAGGGCTCGGTGGTGCTCGGCCGGGGCTGGGGGCGGGGCCGGGGGCCGTGGAGTGTCCTCCATTTGGAGGCACAAAATATGGTAACCCTACTCCAGGGGAAATTCTGATGACAGGGCTTTGCATATTGGGGACTGCCCAGAATGTATGGAACTGTACAACCAGCTCACCATAATGTCCCCACCGCTCCCATGTACTGTTTGTTCCTGGTTTGATTGTGATACATTTGAGTATCTTGCAGCAGTGCCACCATCATGGGCTATGGTGGCATCAGAACCTACAAGCAGAGCCATGCTGGGATGAACGGTACCTGTCCAGTAGCTAGAGAGGGGCAGGAGATGATGCAGTTCTCTCTCTGCTGATAGCCAGGGCTCAGAGAGGAGCCAGAGTCCACAGGAAAGGCCATGGAATCCCACTTTTACTCACTGGCATCCCCCAAGAGAAGTACAGAGAAAAATCAGCCCAGGGGAGAAAAGAGTTCAAGGTTCATGAATGGTTGGGGAGACACTGGAGTTCGGGGCGGTGATGCTGTATGGAATATGGGTTTATAATAATTTATAATATTAACAGCAATATTACAAATTGGAATGAATCATGCTAGATATGCTGTGTAAGGTGTTGGTGAAAATGATCTGATTTGCCAAGTCTAATAATCTTGTTTATGTTTGTATTGCCTTTGTATTGTGAGTTAGAGATATGTAGGGTATATCTGTATTTCCAAACTTGTGCTGTGTTTCTGGGTGACACCCCCAGGCAGTTTGACATCAGCACTGCCTAGCCTGTTTGATGGTCCATCAAGGATCATCGGCTGTACAATTGACCCATTGAGAGAAGGCAAGGGATACATCTTATTAGTCAGCAAGGCATGTAGTAACTGGAGTAACTTTTCTGCAAACAAAGCTCTAAACAAAGTAATGAAAGACCCATCCAAGCTGTGGATGTGTTCCACAGGGACTTCCAAGCCAGCAAACTCACCAATACGCCTAAGAACATGATATATGGACTTGGAAGTTTCTATATGTGTTTGAGTGCTTTATCATTTAACAACTCTTTATAATAAACCTTTAGTTTTAGACACTAAAGGATTGGCTGGCAGCATGGTATTTTGGGTAGGATCTAAACGAATATTGACCTAGTAACGTGGCTGACCCTATGGGGTCAGAAGAACATTTGGTATATGTGAGCAGAGTTTTTAAATGACTTCTCCCTGTACTGGACCTAGGTGCTGATTGGGAGCCAGAGAACTGGAATGGAATTAGGGGACTGGGGGGGGGGGATTTCTTTTTTTTTAACTTCTTGATAACCAGCGTGGGAGATCAGAAGTACTGTCTGTGACTGGTTGGTGAGTTTAACTTCAGTGTTAACCACTAGTTTGGGGAGTCTCTGCTCTCCCTTCTGCAGCCTGGCCTGACTTTGGCATTTTCAGTGAGGGCAGCCCCGGGCACCCCGGGTCACAGGGGTGTGTGAGGGAATTATGAAGAAAGTCTGTAATCTGATATTTGGACAAAAGAAGGTGGAGCCATGGCCGGGAAGAGTTGAGGAACCCCATATTAACCCAGATCGAGAACAGCCGGGCAGTTGAACATCTGCAAACTCAGAGACAAAATGGACCAGAGCCGCACTAAGAAAGAAGCTATGGAGAAACTTTTTGATCCAAAAGAGTTTTTGAAAACGTATTATTCCTTTGACTCCACAAGCAGTGAAAAAAATGATATTTTGATGTTTTTTCTGAGAAACTTCTTTAAGACCTTCATTTTGGGTGAGTGGGGTGTGTTTTGTGCCATTCTGTTTGCACAAAGGCTGTTTTATAGTGGGATGCGTGTTGCTGGAAACATGATTGTGTAGATCTGGATTTCTTTTAGCAGAGAAGATTTTCTCTAATTATCTTCTACCCCTGCTTTATGGCGTGATGGGCCACAGCTGGTCATCCTCATTACAAAAGCCTGGCACAATAGGTGGGTTGAGAGTAGTATTGTTCTCTAGTGTGTGCAATGACAACACTGGGCTGTGCTAATGACCTAGATGGGTCTCCCAAAGTCAATAGGAGAGTCTGAGATGAAGCATAAAATGGGGGCCACTACAGGCTGAAGAATCAACAGTGGAGAAGGTGCACCCGGATCGTGGCAGCATGGAAGAGGGGAGAGGAGGGCGGGGAAGAGCATGCATCAGAGCTTATGCACAGGGTCCTGTAGGGTGGCAGTGGTTGGGGACATCACTGGTGACAGCAGGTATGGCACAGACCAGGACAGAGCAAATCTTCCTTTACTAGTTTGTGCCTTAAGTACAGTCTCCCTACAAGATTGACCAGCTCCTCATCCCATGCAGTAGAGCTCTGTGCCATTCCCCAGCAAGCCCTGGTCCCAGCATTAAGATGACCAATGGCTGGTGGTAGATCAGAAGCCGGCTCGTGGCACTGAGCCAGGAGTCGCCAGTCAAGGAGCTCCCCAGCGGTCCCCGAAAGAGGGACTTTCTCCCAAGCTGTTTGTGTGTCTAGGCTTGTGGGCCTGTAGAATGTACTTTTAAAGCTACCTGGGCTGTGTGGGTATTGCTAACTTCAAGCCAAGTGAGCTTAAATAACAGATGTTAAAAGATAACACAACTTGGGTTTTGTTTCGGTGCCTTCTGGATTTTGAGCTTTTCGGGTTGTTATTCTTTTAAGCTTTCTCCACAACTCTTCACGCTAGAAACTAGCTTTAATTGAATTTATTTATTCAAAAGAAAGATGAGATGAGATCTCCCGGTGCCAGCTTTAAGAGAGATATGGACAAATCGGAGAGGGCCCAGGGGAGAGCAACAAAAAAAGAGAGAAGGCTTAGAAATCTGACTTCCAGCCA